TGTCCTCTAGTCTCTACAGCCTGTGTCCTCTAGTCTCTACAGCCTGTGTCCTCTAGTCTCTACAGCCTGTGTCCTCTAGTCTCTACAGCCTGTGTCCTCTAGTCTCTACAGCCTGTGTCCTCTAGTCTCTACAGCCTGTGTCCTCTAGTCTCTACAGCCTGTGTCCTCTAGTCTCTACAGCCTGTGTCCTCTAGTCTCTACAGCCTGTGTCCTCTAGTCTCTACAGCCTGTGTCCTCTAGTCTCTACAGCCTGTGTCCTCTAGTCTCTACAGCCTGTGTCCTCTAGTCTCTACAGCCTGTGTCCTCTAGTCTCTACAGCCTGTGTCCTCTAGTCTCTACAGCCTGTGTCCTCTAGTCTCTACAGCCTGTGTCCTCTAGTCTCTACAGCCTGTGTCCTCTAGTCTCTACAGCCTGTGTCCTCTAGTCTCTACAGCCTGTGTCCTCTAGTCTCTACAGCCTGTGTCCTCTAGTCTCTACAGCCTGTGTCCTCTAGTCTCTACAGCCTGTGTCCTCTAGTCTCTACAGCCTGTGTCCTCTAGTCTCTACAGCCTGTGTCCTCTAGTCTCTACAGCCTGTGTCCTCTAGTCTCTACAGCCTGTGTCCTCTAGTCTCTACAGCCTGTGTCCTCTAGTCTCTACAGCCTGTGTCCTCTAGTCTCTACAGCCTGTGTCCTCTAGTCTCTACAGCCTGTGTCCTCTAGTCTCTACAGCCTGTGTCCTCTAGTCTCTACAGCCTGTGTCCTCTAGTCTCTACAGCCTGTGTCCTCTAGTCTCTACAGCCTGTGTCCTCTAGTCTCTACAGCCTGTGTCCTCTAGTCTCTACAGCCTGTGTCCTCTAGTCTCTACAGCCTGTGTCCTCTAGTCTCTACAGCCTGTGTCCTCTAGTCTCTACAGCCTGTGTCCTCTAGTCTCTACAGCCTGTGTCCTCTAGTCTCTACAGCCTGTGTCCTCTAGTCTCTACAGCCTGTGTCCTCTAGTCTCTACAGCCTGTGTCCTCTAGTCTCTACAGCCTGTGTCCTCTAGTCTCTACAGCCTGTGTCCTCTAGTCTCTACAGCCTGTGTCCTCTAGTCTCTACAGCCTGTGTCCTCTAGTCTCTACAGCCTGTGTCCTCTAGTCTCTACAGCCTGTGTCCTCTAGTCTCTACAGCCTGTGTCCTCTAGTCTCTACACAGCCTGTGTCCTCTAGTCTCTACAGCCTGTGTCCTCTAGTCTCTACAGCCTGTGTCCTCTAGTACAGCCTGTGTCCTCTAGTATGTCCTCTCTACAGCCTGTGTCCTCTAGTCTCTACAGCCTGTGTCCTCTAGTCTCTACAGCCTGTCTCTAGTCTCTACAGCCTGTGTCTCTACAGTGTCTCTAGTCTCTACAGCCTGTGTCCTCTAGTCTCTACAGCCTGTGTCCTCTACAGCCTGTGTAGTCTCTACAGTCTCTGCCTGTCCTCTAGTCTCTCTACAGCCTGTGTCCTCTAGTCTGTGTCCTCTAGTCTGGTCTATATGTACCTGTGTCTCTCTGTGTCTATATGTACCTGTGTCTCTGTGTCTATATGTACCTGTGTCTCTGTCTATATGTACCTGTGTCTATATGTACCTGTGTCCCTGTGTCTATATGTACCTGTGTCTCTGTGTCTATATGTACCTGTCTCTCTGTGTCTATATGTACCTGTGTCTCTCTGTGTCTATATGTACCTGTGTCTCTGTGTCTATATGTACCTGTGTCTCTGTGTCTATATGTACCTGTGTCTGTGTCTATATGTACCTGTGTCTCTCTGTGTCTATATGTACCTGTGTCTCTGTGTCTATATGTACCTGTGTCTGTGTCTATATGTACCTGTGTCTCTCTGTGTCTATATGTACCTGTGTCTCTCTGTGTCTATATGTACCTGTGTCTCTGTGTCTATATGTACCTGTGTCTCTCTGTGTCTATATGTACCTGTGTCTCTCTGTGTCTATATGTACCTGTGTCTCTGTGTCTATATGTACCTGTGTCTCTGTGTCTATATGTACCTGTGTCTCTCTGTGTCTATATGTACCTGTGTCTCTCTGTGTCTATATGTACCTGTGTCTCTGTGTCTATATGTACCTGTGTCTCTCTGTGTCTATATGTACCTGTGTCTCTGTGTCTATATGTACCTGTGTCTCTCTGTGTCTATATGTACCTGTGTCTGTGTCTATATGTACCTGTGCTCCTCTCCTCTTTTGTTTTTTCATCATTAAATCATCTCGATCCGTGACAGTCTCCCATGGAACGAAAAAACATTTCTTGATATCAGACTAAATGGCTTTATTCCATCGGAAAATATATTTTTAAGAGAGTCGGAATGTGCTCAGATTAAGATACAATTCTCTACATTCAAGCAATTTCTACCTCAAATGTTATCATTTTCTGCAGTGTTTCAAGGCTGGCTCCTGTGGCTCAGAGAAGACTTTAAAACATCTGTGACATGTTAGTGCCATATGAACCAACTCTGAGGAGCACAGGGACGGGCCTCCTGCTGGGACTCTGAGGAGCACAGGGACTGGCCTCCTGCTGGGACTCTCTGAGGAGCACAGGGACTGGCCTCCTGCTGGGACTCTGATCTGAGGAGCACAGGGACTGGCCTCCTGCTAGAACTCTGATGTGAGGAGCACAGGGACTGGCCTCCTGCTGGGACTCTGATGTGAGGAGCACAGGGACTGGCCTCCTGCTGGGACTCTGATCTGAGGAGCACAGGGACTGGCCTCCTGCTAGAACTCTGATGTGAGGAGCACAGGGACTGGCCTCCTGCTGGGACTCTGATGTGAGGAGCACAGGGACTGGCCTCCTGCTGGGACTCTGATGTGAGGAGCACAGGGACTGGCCTCCTGCTAGAACTCTGATGTGAGGAGCACAGGGACTGGCCTCCTGCTAGAACTCTGATGTGAGGAGCACAGGGACTGGCCTCCTGCTGGGACTCTGATGTGAGGAGCACAGGGACTGGCCTCCTGCTGGGACTCTGATGTGAGGAGCACAGGGACTGGCCTCCTGCTGGGACTCTGATCTGAGGAGCACAGGGACTGGCCTCCTGCTAGAACTCTGATGTGAGGAGCACAGGGACTGGCCTCCTGCTGGGACTCTGATGTGAGGAGCACAGGGACTGGCCTCCTGCTGGGACTCTGATCTGAGGAGCACAGGGACTGGCCTCCTGCTGGGACTCTGATCTGAGGAGCACAGGGACTGGCCTCCTGCTAGAACTCTGATGTGAGGAGCACAGGGACTGGCCTCCTGCTGGGACTCTGATCTGAGGAGCACAGGGACTGGCCTCCTGCTGGGACTCTGATCTGAGGAGCACAGGGACTGGCCTCCTGCTGGGACTCTGATGTGAGGAGCACAGGGACTGGCCTCCTGCTGGGACTCTGATCTGAGGAGCACAGGGACTGGCCTCCTGCTGGGACTCTGATGTGAGGAGCACAGGGACTGGCCTCCTGCTGGGACTCTGATCTGAGGAGCACAGGGACTGGCCTCCTGCTGGGACTCTGATCTGAGGAGCACAGGGACTGGCCTCCTGCTGGGACTCTGATCTGAGGAGCACAGGGACTGGCCTCCTGCTGGGACTCTGATCTGAGGAGCACAGGGACTGGCCTCCTGCTGGGACTCTGATCTGAGGAGCACAGGGACTGGCCTCCTGCTGGGACTCTGATCTGAGGAGCACAGGGACTGGCCTCCTGCTGGGACTCTGAGGAGCACAGGGACTGGCCTCCTGCTGGGACTCTGATCTGAGGAGCACAGGGACTGGCCTCCTGCTGGGACTCTGATCTGAGGAGCACAGGGACTGGCCTCCTGCTGGGACTCTGATCTGAGGAGCACAGGGACTGGCCTCCTGCTGGGACTCTGATCTGAGGAGCACAGGGACTGGCCTCCTGCTGGGACTCTGATCTGAGGAGCACAGGGACTGGCCTCCTGCTGGGACTCTGATCTGAGGAGCACAGGGACTGGCCTCCTGCTGGGACTCTGATGTGAGGAGCACAGGGACTGGCCTCCTGCTGGGACTCTGATCTGAGGAGCACAGGGACTGGCCTCCTGCTGGGACTCTGATCTGAGGAGCACAGGGACTGGCCTCCTGCTGGGACTCTGATCTGAGGAGCACAGGGACTGGCCTCCTGCTGGGACTCTGATCTGAGGAGCACAGGGACTGGCCTCCTGCTGGGACTCTGAGGAGCACAGGGACTGGCCTCCTGCTGGGACTCTGATCTGAGGAGCACAGGGACTGGCCTCCTGCTGGGACTCTGAGGAGCACAGGGACTGGCCTCCTGCTGGGACTCTGAGGAGCACAGGGACTGGCCTCCTGCTGGTTCCAGAGTCAGGACCATGGGGAGGCAGCGTTCCAGATTCATACAGCTATAATTTGAGACAGTTTTCCAGGCTTCTTCTCTTAGTTTAAATCCAGGTTAAAACAGTTCTGTATCTAATATGTTTGATTGTAATCTCTTATATTGTTTTTCTGAAGCACTTTGAGTTGCCTTGTGAATGCTCTGTGCTGTACTAACAAACTAGCCTTGCCTAGTTGCTGACATTTTTGTAAAACTCAAACTTAATCGTAGATGTGTCATTAAAATGTCTAGTTTAACCTGTATATTATAAACAGAAACACATTTGAAACATAAGTAAAGTGGTAAATTCACCTGTGATACACTTAATGTGTGTCATAATAAGACCAAATGTCCCGGTGGTCGTTTCCCACCACAGTTGTTAACCAAAGATATTGAAGTCAAACCAGGTTCCTGACAAATTTCTATTAGCTCTGCCATTTCAAAGCCCAGTAAATGTATCTAAATTGAGTTTCAAGTGCTACTACTTTTTCCTGAAAATCGAAAAACCATTTTTCACCAGGAGCCCCTTGAAATGGAAAAGTGTTGTCAGGCAAAATGGTTCTGTGTGATTCGTCCTAATAACCAACGCTTCCACTGGAGGGATGTCTGTGGTCCAAAATAGCTACCTCTCTGAAACATGTTCTGACCTCGGACATTTTATTATGACACAAAATGACTTTCAGTGAGACACAGACATAATGTGGAGACACTCGGACACTTTTACACACGCCGTGAATGCAGCTGAGGAGAGAGAGGAGCACTCCACCTCCAGGACCCACGACCCCCTCTCAGGGTGCTCACACTGCAGGACCCATGACCCCCTCTGAGGGTGCTCACACTGCAGGACCCACGACCCCCTCTGAGGGTGCTCACACTGCAGGACCCAGGACCCCCTCTCAGGGTGCTCACACTGCAGGACCCACGACCCCCTCTGAGGGTGCTCACACTGCAGGACCCATGACCCCCTCTGAGGGTGCTCACACTGCAGGACCCATGACCCCCTCTGAGGGTGCTCACACTGCAGGACCCAGGACCCCCTCTCAGGGTGCTCACACTGCAGGACCCATGACCCCCTCTGAGGGTGCTCACACTGCAGGACCCAGGACCCCCTCTCAGGGTGCTCACACTGCAGGACCCATGACCCCCTCTGAGGGTGCTCACACTGCAGGACCCAGGACCCCCTCTCAGGGTGCTCACACTGCAGGACCCACGACCTCCTCTGAGGGTGCTCACACTGCAGTTCACTTTGGAGAGACCCAAGAGGGAAAATGCAGTTAGAAGTTTGTTGATTGAGCATGTTTGGCGCCCTAGGCCCGGGAGAGATGCTGATGAGTGCGGCGCTTGCTCGCGCGCATGATCCCCCCCGGGGCCTAGGCACTGGTGACGGCAGAGGCAGTAGGCAAGCACGCTTCGATGAGAGAAGGAGGAGGTGGGGCGGCGGAGGCTTTGCAGACTTCAGAAGGCCGGGAAGTGGGCGTCTCCGGCTTTTAACTTGCTGTCCTGGTGGTTATTGGTGGACTAGATGTGGGCGTTTTGCTGGTGTAATGAGTAGAGGATGAGCAGGCTTGTAGATCTGGCAGCAGTGGCCGGGTCTACCACAGTGAACTTTCGCGAAGAGCTTCATTTCACTTTGGAGAGACCCAAGAGGGAAAATGCAGTTAGAAGTTTGTTGATTGAGTATGTTTGGCGCCCTAGGCCCGGGAGAGATGCTGATGATGTGAGCGCTCGCATCACGATCGATACCAGACGTTGAAGCAGAGTTATCTTTGAGCGCCGGGATGTGTGAGCTTGCATCACGATCAACCGGACGCTGTCTGGGACGTGAGCGCTCGCATCACGATCGATACCAGACGCTGTAGCAGAGTTATCTTTGAGCGCCGGGATGTGTGCGCTCGCATCACGATCAACCGGACGCTGTCTGGGACGTGAGCGCTCGCATCACGATCGGTACCAGACGCTGCGGTGAAGTTATCTTTAAGCGCCGGGACGTGAGCGCTCGCATCACGATCAACCGGACGCTGTCTGGGACGTGAGCGCTCGCATCACGATCGGTACCAGACGCTGCAGTGGAGTTATCTTTAAGCGCCGGGACGTGAGCGCTCGCATCACGATCGGTACCAGACGCTGCAGTGGAGTTATCTTTAAGCGCCGGGACGTGAGCGCTCGCATCACGATCGATACCGGACGCTGAAGCAGGGTTATCTTTGAAGAAGTGCGTGCCGCCACCAGAATCTTATTGGTTCACTTACTTTGCTTTGTATAGCTTTGCTGGGAGCTTACAAGGAAGCCAGTAGCCGTTGTGCAGCCAGGATGGCGGACGCGTGATGTAGGTGGAGAAAGCCGAAGAGGACCAGCGCCCCAGCTGTTGCAGAGAGGTGTGGGGGAGCCCCAGCGAGGCTGCGCGCGTGGCGGCGCCTATCCTGAAGGAGTGGGCTGTGTAGAGCTGGGGAGACAAATTGCAGAGGAGCAATAGGGATCTTAGCTGAGCTCTGAACCAGGTTGCTGTCATAGGAAGAATGTCTGGAGTGAGAATAGAGGTCCGTTAAGATCTCCTTTTTGCAGCGGAGGCGAGTGTAACGCATAAAGGATTTGTAGGGGCAGAGAGATGTGTCCGAGCGAGCTATTACTATATTGCAGGCTCCTTTGATTTTTGAATGTTTGAGACGGAGGTTGAAATGGTCAGGGGACATTATGTTGGGTGAAAAAGAGCAACCTTTGTGTAATGCTTCCACTACGTCGAGATTATCACACATGACAGAGATCCTCTTTCTCTGCCACGTGTGATTCCACAGCGCGCAGGCCACGACCACTGGGAATATCTCGTGTAGGGCAGAGGAGATGCTCCGGGGAAAAGTAGCGGGCCACGGCTCGGCGAACCACTGGTCCTGGAAGAACCCCCCAAAACCCACGGAAGGGGCAGCGTCCGTGTAGAAGCGGAGACCTGTAGGGGCAGAGACATATCGGAGAGGGCCATTGAAGTTGCAGGCGCCCTTACGCTTGAAACCTTGGGTTGGAGAGTAGAAATCAGGATAGTAGGATGGTCGGGAACGCCGTGGCTCGGACCGCATTGAAGGTTGAGTGAGCAATGGTGAGACGCTTATGCAGAGAAGCCATAGAAGGAGAGCAGAAAGATGCTGCGAGGAGGGCGGACATGTACTTGGGAGATGAGCCGGAGTTTAGCGCCGCTGCAGGATGGGCAGCATGATGGGGAGCCTGCGATCAGAAGAGTGAAGAATACAGGTATGGATGCCTTTGATTAGGAGTCCGATTGACGGCTCAGCGCAGCTACTCGGCCAGCTGCATCTGATAGAATCAGAAGATTAAGTAGAGAGATGAAGCATGACCGCCGAAGCGACCCTGGGAGCATAGGTGCGAGTCCAGCGCAGCGCGGCATACTCAGCCGGGCTGCATCCATTAGAAGCAGGATAAGCTTCTGAGAGAGTGGGTTGCAGCAGTAGCAGTAGCAGCAGCAACCTCAGATAATAACGGCAATAGTCCTGTATCAAGCCGCGACAGTAGCAGCAGCAGCAGCAGCAGCAGCGTCCTTAGAAAATAACAGTAATAATCCTGTATCAAAGCCACGGCAGTAGAATGTTGTTGTAGCTGTTCAGTGTTTCAGTAAAAGATATGCAAGTGAAGAGAGATGGCAATGTAAATGAAGCAGCAGCAGCAGTAGTAGCAGCAGTACGCAGCAGCAGTAGCAGTAGCAGTATGCAGCAGCAGCAGCAGCAGTATGAAGCAGCAGCAGCAGCAGCTGCAGCATCCGTAGATAATAACAGCAATAATCCTGTATCAAGCCGCGGCAGCAGCAGTAGTAGCAGCAGCAGCAGCAGCAGCATCCTTAGAAAATAACAGTAGTAATTCTGTATCAAAGCCACAGCAGTAGAATGTTGTTGTAGCTGTTCAGTGTTTCAGTAAAAGAGATGCAAGTGAAGAGAGATGGCAAAGTAAATGAAGCAGCAGCAGCAGTAGTAGCAGCAGTATGCAGCAGCAGGAGCAGTAGCGGCAGCAGCAGCTGCAGCATCCGTAGATAATAACAGCAATAATCCAGTATCAAAGCCAGAGCAGTAGAATATTGTTGTAGCTGTTTAGTATTTCAGTAAAAGAGATGTGAAGTGAAGAGAGATGTCAAAGTACATGAAGCAGCAGCAGCACGGCAGCAGTAGCGGTATGAAGCAGCAGCAGTAGCAGCAGTAACGGTAGCAGTATGAAGCAGCAGAAGCAGCATTAGCAGGAGCAGCAGTAGCAGTATGAAGCAGCAGCAGTAGCAGCAGTAGCAGTATGAAGCAGCAGCAGTAGCAGCAGTAGCAGTATGAAGCAGCAGCAGTAGCAGCAGTATGAGGCAGCAGCAGCGGTTGCAGCATCCGTAGATAATAACAGCAATAATCCTGTATAAAAGCCACAGCAGTAGAATATTGTTGTAGCTGTTTAGTGTTTCAGTAAAAGAGATGCGAAGTGAAGAGAGGTGTCAAAGTAAAGAAGCAGCAGCAGCACGGCAGCAGTAGCAGTATGAAGCAGCAGCGGCAGCAATAGTAAGTAAGTAAGTAAGTAAGCTTTATTTATATACCGCCTTTCACAGACCAGAGTCACAAAGCGGTTTACAATTGTTGTTTTTTTGGGCACTTGTCCTCTCACTCCACACAGAGATGGGAGCGGGGTCGCCGAACAGGAGGCGCATGCCAGCCCTATTGTACATATTTTTAGTGGTAGGGGAAACCGGAGTACCCGGAGGAAACCTACGCAGACACAGGGAGAACATGCAAACTCCACTCAGAAAGGCCCTGGTCCGGCCGGGATTCGAACCCAGGACCTTCTTGCTGAGAGGCGAGAGTGCTATCCACTCAGCCACCATGCCGCCCTAATAGCAGCATTAGCGGCAGCAGTAGCGGTAGCAGTATGAAGCAGCAGAAGCAGCATTAGCAGGAGCAGTAGCACCACAATGCGATTCATACGAACAAACAGACGTGTCACGCCAGCGTGCGCCGCTTGTCTCCGTGAGCCAGGTTACATACGTGTCTGAAAGAGCCAAGCCGTAGAGACAGGTGCCGCCCGGGAGCCCGCGGAGCAGCAGCGGCAGGAACAGCAGCAGCGGCACATGTAGTAGCAGGAGCAGCAGGAGCAGGGACAGGCAGCAGCAGGAGCGGCAGCAGGAACAGCAGCAGCGGCACATGTAGTAGCAGGAGCAGCAGGAGCAGGCAGCAGGAACAGGCGGCAGCAGGAACAGCAGCAGCGGCACATGTAGTAGTAGGAGCAGCAGGAGCAGGCAGCAGGGACAGGCAGCAGCAGGAACAGGCAGCAGCGGGAACAGGCATCAGGGACCGCAGCAGCGGCGGTCAGAGAACCATGCCCACGGTTGTTTAAGAGCCTGAGGAAATAAATCAACCCGAATCCGAAACATACCCATGCAAAAAACAGATGTCCCCTGGAGCCGTCTTCTGCTTTGGTTATGGCAGAGACGCATGAACGATCACTGATCCATGCGTTCATAGCTCCAACTCCACTTCACACTCATTGCAGATTCACATTGGGCCCCTTTTCTTTCTGCTGCACTTTCGAAATGCAACAACTGCAGTTTAGTTACCCAATTTAATACTAGTGACCTAGCTATTTAAATGCATGGCCCCTCCTTCCTCCTGCAGATAGACGAATTTAAATACATTCATTTAACAATAGTGACTTGCGAGTAATGAGATTAATGCTGTAAAGATGGCGCCGTGGCAAGAGCTCTGGTGTGTGCCGTCTGGAGCACGATGGGGTAGTCTTTGCACATTTTTTCCAACGTGGTTTTACTGCAAGTGGCAGAACATGAATCTGAATTAATGCACATTGCTCCTCTTATATCCCTCAGACATTGGAGATTGATGCCATTTAAGATGCATTGTCCCTCAGTTAGCTCAAACACGTGTAAAACGGAGCCTGCAACCAAGCACGGGGCGAAAACTGGCGCCTGTAGTCAAGTGCGTAGGGCAAAAACCAGCCGCCTGCAGCCCAGACTCCGGGATTAATCTGTCCGCGGTCGGCACACTCACTGTACTCACATGCCAGGAAACTTGGGAAAGCAACGGGACAACGCGGCACCGCCAGTCGGAGGCAGGGACACGCACGGCACCGCCAGACCGTCTGCGCGCGGCAGCAGACCACGAGGAACGAGCAGCACAGGACCTGCAGAGGGCCCCGCGGAGCAGCCCGCAGAAAGAGCCCGCAGAGGAGGAGAGCAGTGGAGATATGCGAACCACAGCAGGTGCAGGGACGCGGAGGAGGAGCAGACCACAAGCAGCCAGACTGAGGACAGCCGGGCCACGCGCACGAGCAACACGTGAGCAGAAGCGACCCCTCCAGAACAACGCATGCATTTGCGAACAGGTGCGTTAGCGACATGCACCTTGCAGGCTTCAGAAGTTTGCAAACTTCAGAAGGCCGGGAAGTGGGCGTCTCCGGCTGTTAACTTGCTGTCCTGGTGGTTATTGGTGGATTAGATGTGGGCGTTTTGCTGGTGTAATGAGTAGAGGATGAGCAGGCTTGTAGATCTGGCAGCAGTGGCCGGGTCTACCACAGTGAACTTTCGCGAAGAGCTTCATGACCCACGACCCCCTCTGAGGGTGCTCACACTGCAGGACCCACGACCCCCTCTCAGGGTGCTCACACTGCAGGACCCATGACCCCCTCTCAGGGTGCTCACACTGCAGGACCCATGACCCCCTCTCAGGGTGCTCACACTGAAAGATGCTGTGTTTCATGTAGACAGTATTACGATATGGATCTAGAAAAGCACTGATAGAGCACAGACCTCTGCCTACAGCTCCGGTCCTTTAACAAAAACCTGCATCCAAATGGTGAGGGTTGATTCTCTTCCATGATGTACTCACGTCCTGAAAAGGCAGTCTAAATCCCCCCTTAACCCTTTGCTCATTATTGTTGTATATAGATTATCACACAGTGCATCAAAAGTGTAGGAGAATTAAAAATGACTTCTTTCCTGAATCATTTCCCGAAGACATTTGTATAATGAGAAATATAATCCCTTCCTTTTTGAAACAAATTTATGAATGAGCAAAAGGTTACTAGCAATGTCAGCGACTCAAGATGCATTTATAAAACAAGCTCCAAAAGATACTCAGCCCATGTTTTCTCTAGATTAAATTCAACTTTATTGTCATTACAAAATCAAAACAATGCAAAAAAATGCAGTTTAGCCTCTAACCAGTCGTGCAATAGTGCAAGTATAGTTGTTGTATATTAACAACACAGATACATGTATAAGCGTATATGTGAGACTGTACAAAGCTTCTGTTGCTGCTATATACATGAATTATACTAGAGTAAAGTAGAAATATGTAAGATTTTCATGTCAATTCTTATACACTAATCTATTCAATCGAAAATAAGTGAAAATTCAAAAAATTATTTTGTGTTTGTGTTTGTGCTGCGTCCTTGGATCTGTTAGTGAGACGTTTGTGGTTAAATTAAAAAAAAAAAAAAAAAAAAAAAAAAAAAAAAAGAAAAAAAAAAAAAATTTAATTTAGTAAAACAAACAAAAAAAAAAAAATAAAAAAAAAAAAAAAAAACAAAAAAAAAAAAAAAAAAAAAAATATAAAACATTAAAAAGATAAATCTTTGAAGTGGTAGAGCCCGAAAACACAGAAGCTTTTGAAATCACACTAATGATGATTTAACAAAGGCTTCTGTTTTAGAGTAGGGATGGAGCAGGAACACCTGGTGTCTTCTTACTTCCAAAGTTGTTGTAAAACGCTCAAACCAACAAAGAGCTCCTGCTGATGTAGATGAGCGCTGTGAACGAGAGTCATATTTATCATTTTCTTTTTGGTTATAACCCAGAGACTGTGAATATTAACAAATGTCGTCACACCTATCCGCGCCACTCAAAATAGTGTGCCATCACTTTTGGCTTTGTGGGCTTTTCAAAATGGGGGCTGGAGAATGTGAAAAAAAACCCCGTGGTGGGCGGGTCCTGGCTCAAAAATGTCCATGAGCTTGTGCGCTGACATGCTTGCAATTACCACCCCAGGCCTGTGGCGGTGTACCCTGGAAAGCAAAAAATTCAATGTTTAATGTATAGCAGCGTCTTTCCTCTCGAAAACACCTTTACAGGATGGTCCAAAAGTCGCTCTTGGCCATAGCTCTGTTCCAGATGCTGGTCAACGAGGATAGTTTTTTGATCAGTCTAGTTTAGTTGCTTGGGACTTCAGAATCAATAACATTTTTATTTATAAAGCGCTTTATCATACAAAAGATGCCAACACATAGTGCTTCTACAGTTTTTTAAAAACGATCCCGCCATGACCCACTCCAACCACCCACAGACCACCCCAAACCACATATATTATTAAGAACAACACACAATACGCAACACCGCTCGCGCACAACTCCACACATACGCTTGCTCACTCGGGCTCACACGCGCACAATCACACCACACCAGTACATCAGTAAAACCATGGGGTGAGAGGGGACGTGTCTTGGGTTCAGATGCAACCAGCTGAAGAAGAGTCATCCAAGGAGCCGTCGTGCACCAGGAGCTGAGAGCGCCTGTCGCCACAGGGGACGACACAGGACCCAGAGGAGACCTCGGAAGCGAGGCCCCAGGCCCCCACCAGGGGGTCCAGCCGCAGCCACAGCGACCCACTGTTCCCAGTGAGAGGGCTCCTCCAGAGGAAACACTGGGTAAACTAAAAAACATTACAAGAAAAAGTTAAAACTTTAATATGTGAGACTAAAGGACCTTTTCATATTAGTAATAGTATATAACATAATAAAAGTAAAACTAAAATATAATTGTGTCCCCAGGGAGGCGTCCAGGAAGCATCCGGAACAGATGCCCGAGCCACCTCAACTGGTTCCTCTCGACGTGGAGAAGCAGCGGTTCTACTCCGAGCTCCTCCCGTGTGACTTGAGCTCCTCACCCTATCTCTAAGGGAGCGCCCAGCCACTCTGCGGAGGAAGCTCATTTCGACCGCTTGTATCCGCGATCTCGTTCTTTCGGTCATTACCCAAAGCTCATGACCATAGGTGAGGGAGGGAACGAAGATTGACCGGTAAATCGAGAGCTTTGCCTTTCGGCTCAGCTCCCTCTTCACCACAACGGTCCGATACAGCGACCGCATAACTGCGCACGCTGCACCGATCCGCCTGTCAATCTCACGCTCCATTCTTCCCTCACTCGTGAACAAGACCCCGAGATACTTGAACTCCTCCACTTGAGGAAGGACCTCTCCACCCACCTGCAGAGGGCAAGGCACCTTTTTCCGGTCGAGCACCATGGCCTCGGATTTGGAGGTGCTGATTCTCATCCCAGCCGCTTCACACTCGGCTGCAAACCCTCCCAGTGCATGCTGCAGGTCCTGGTTCGTTGGAGCCAACAGGACAACATCGTCCGCAAACAGCAGAGATGAAATCCTGTGGTCTCCGAACCGGACCCCCTCCGACCCCTGGCTGCGCCTAGATATTCTGTCCATAAATACAGTGAACAGAACCGGTGACAAAGGGCAGCCCTGTCGGAGGCCAACATTCACCGGAACAGGTCTGACTTACTGCCGGCAATGCGAACACAGCTCTGGCTCCGGTCATACAGGGATCGGATGGCCCTCAGCAGAGGACCTCCGACCCCGTACTCCCGGAGAACCCCCCAAAGGACACCCCGGGGAACACAGTCGAACGCCTTCTCCAAATCCACAAAGCACATGTGGACAGGTTGGGCGAACTCCCATGAACCCTCGAGTATCCGATGGAGAGTATAGAGCTGGTCCAGTGTTCCGCGACCGGGACGAAAACCACACTGCTCCTCCTGGATCCGAGATTCGACCATCGGCCGTAACCTCCTCTCCAGTACCTTGGAGTAGACCTTACCGGGGAGGCTGAGGAGTGTGATCCCACGATAATTGGAACACACCCTCCGGTCCCCCTTTTTGTAGAGAGGGACCACCACCCCGGTCTGCCACTCCATTGGCACTGCCCCCGATCGCCACGCGATGTTGCAGAGACGTGTCAGCCAAGACAGTCCTACAACATCCAGAGACTTTAGATAATCAGGGCGGATCTCATCCACACCCGGAGCCTTGCCACCATGGAGGCTACCAACCACCTTGGTGACCTCAGCCAGGGAGATGGATGTACCCGCCCCAACATCCTCAGCCTCTGCCTCTGTAACAGAGGACGTGACGGGGGGATTGAGGAGAACCTCAAAGTATTCCTTCCACCGCCCGACAATATCCCCAGTCGAGGTCAGCAGCTCTCCACCCGCACCGTACATGGTGTTGGCAAAGAACTGCTTCCCCCTCCTGAGGCGCCGGATGGTTTGCCAGAATCTCTTCGAGGCCGACCGATAGTCATGCTCCATGGACTCTCCGAACTCCTCCCAGTCCCGGGTTTTTGCCTCTGCAACAGCCCGGGCCGCGGCACGCTTGGCCTGCCGGTACTGGACAGCTGCCTCAGGAGTCCCCCGAACCATCATGGCTCGATAGGACTCCTTCTTCAGCCTGACGGCATCCCTTACTGCCGGTGTCCACCACCGGGTTCGGGGGTTGCCGCCGGGACCAGCACCAGAGACCTTGCGACCACAGCTACGAGCCGCCGCATCGGCGATTGAGGCAGAGAACATGGTCCACTCGGACTCCATGTCCCCCTCCTCCGCCGGGACCTGGGAGAAGCTCTCCCGGAGGTGTGAGTTGAAAGTCCGTCTGACAGGGGGCTCAGCGAGACGTTCCCAGCAGACCCTCACTATACGCTTGGGTCTGCCAGGTCTGACCGGCTTCTTCCCCTGCCAGCGGATCCAACTCACGACCAGGTGATGATCGGTTGACAGCTCCGCCCCTCTCTTTACCCGAGTGTCCGAGACACGCGGTCGAAGGTCAGATGATACGACAACAAAGTCGATCATCGACCTCCGGCCTAGGGTGTCCTGGTGCCACGTGCACTGGTGGACACCCTTGTGCTCGAACATGGTGTTCGTGATGGACAAACCGCGACTGGCACAGAAGTCCAACAACTGAGCACCGCTCGGGTTCAGATCAGGGGGGCCGCTCTTCCCGATCACCCCTCTCCAAGTGTCACTGGCGTTTCCCACATGGGCGTTGAAGTCCCCCAGGAGAATAACGGAGTCCCCGGGCGGTGCACCGTCCAGTACCCCTCCCAAGGACTCCAAGAAGGCCGGGTACTCTACACTGCTGTTAGGCCCGTAGGCCGTCACAACAATGAGAGACTTGTCCCCCACCCGGAGGCGGAGGGACGCGACCCTCTCATTCACCGGGGAGAACTCCAACACGTGGCGGCTGAGATGGGGGGCAATGAGAATGGCAAGCAATTATATTGAAATGGAAGGAGTATCAGACCACTGCAAATCTACCAAGACCCGGCCGTCCCTCCAAACTTTCATCTCAAACAAGGAGAAGACTGATCAGAGATGCAGCCAAGAGGCCCATGATCACTCTGGATGAACTGCAGATAACTACAGCTGAGGTGGGAGAGTCTGTCCATAGGACAACAATCAGTCGTGCACTGCACAAATCTGGCCTTTATGGAAGAGTGGCAAGAAGAAAGCCATTTCTCAAAGATATCCATAAAAAGTCTCGTTTAAAGTTTGCCACAAGCCACCTGGGAGACACACCAAACATGTGGAAGAAGGTGCTCTGGTCAGATGAAACCAAAATCAAACTTTTTGGCCACAATGCAAAACGATATGTTTGGCGTAAAAGCAACACAGCTCATCACCCTGAACACAGCATCCCCACCTCAGCTGTAGTTATCTGCAGTTCATCCAGAGTGATCATGGGCCACCACGCTCCTCAGTGAAGAGGAAGACTTTCGACGGACAGACGTGGTGGATGCAAGAGATGCAGGCATTGGAAAAGCATCGCCGAGCAACCCAGGAAGCTCTGAGGCACAGTTTGGTACCCAAATGGCCGCGGCACTCCGAAGGGTGCCGAGAGAGAAGCAACTTGGGCTGGTCAAGTTCTTCTTGGACCGGGCTTACGAAGCAGCTCTTGATGATTGACACTTGAACTGTAAATGTACATTTTTTTGCACCTTATTTGAGTTTGCACAATGTTGAAAATCAATCTTTTTTGGCTTGTTTGTGCACAAATACACTTTTTATTAAAACATTTTTTCCTACAAGAACTGTCATTATTCACCACATCACACAAATTAGTTATGAGACAATGAGTGTATAATATTTGTATAGTGTCAAATATACATGACAAATTAACCGTTGAGTGAAGTCAAACACAGTTTGTTTCTGTACACAAAATGGAGACCAAGTTTAAACAGAGCCAACGGTTTTTACTTTGGCTTCAGAATTTAGAATTCATAGTTATCACTTAACTTTCAGGAACACAGACACTGGATAGTATTCTGATTTTGCATTGACAGAAGTATGCACAATCAGAATCATTTTTATTGCCACGTAAGTAACAGGAAGTCAGACTTGGAAATTGCTTTGGCTCAGTGCAACAGTCGGAAAGAGATTATAAAAATAAAGAATAAACACTTCTAAGGAATACATTGAAAAGAGTTGGTTACTATTTACTATATACAAGTGCACATGGTGCACACAATGTAAGGTGACAGTAGTACAGTTAAGTGGTGTGTATTATGTAAGTTATAAAGACACCAGGAACTAAAAAGATATGTCAGAATAGGAGCACATGCTTCCCATATCTGCAGGTGGGTGCAGTGCTCCCTATATGGCACAGAATGTTAAAAAAATGTCAATACATTATATTGAGCCATACAAACACTAAATTACATCTGATTGGAATTGGTAATAAGTGCCTAGCCACTTTTATTGGGGTAGTGTATGTACTGCAGGTATAGAGCATAGTTAAAATGGTTTAAAACAGTTTCAAATTCAGATTTTACCCCATACAAGAAACTAGACAGATTACAATGATTATGTATGATGCAAACATACTGCTACTAATGTACAGATGCTAACATCCTGCTGCTAGCCTAACCACGCTCTACTTGCACTATAATACACCGTACTTTATAATGTTAAACTTTTACTCTTTTCAAGACAGAGTTTCAAATACTTATTGCTACATTTGAAGATTGGTTTATTTTAATTAGGGCAGCTATTAACGTGTGCTCCTCTTTCCTACTGTTCTCTAACTTGTGATGCAACACTGACATTTCCCCACTGTGGGACTAAATTACAATGCATGCTGTGTATCACCTCCCTAATAAAGTGTAATGTTCAATAAAAGTCTAGGGAAAAGTGCAACATCAGTTTAACTCATTGTGTCCCATTGACGCACAAATACGTCAAAGCAAATAGTAACGTCGTGTGCCATTGACGCATTAATACGTCAATTGCTTTTTTTGCTATTTTCACGTTCCCAGATGTCTATTGTATCTAATATGTATGGGGATGACTTGAGACCATATTTTATCGAGCCAGCAGGTGGCAGCATTGCTCTCTGAATGGTTTGAAAACATATAGGTGCACATGTTGTGCCTGTTTTTTCTCAACTTTCTGGTGATTTCTGGTGATTTCAGTAAAACTTCCCTCTACTCAACGGAGGATTACAGGGGAACGAAAAAAGCTATAAACAAAATTCTTTTTGCTGAGGAAAGTAGACAGTCCATTCTTTTAGAATCTGGTGTCGGATTTCAGATAGTCATAGTACACAATATTCTGTGGGTCTTGAAAAATCAGTAAAAATCATCAGAAATGGCTGGCACTGTGGGAGTACCTGTTCTGAAATAGGCTGGCATTAGACAGCTTTTATCAGTAGATGTGTTATGACAGGTGGTCAAAAACTGTGTGCGGGTGTTTGAATCGATTTGTTGACCAGTGTTGACATACTATGCAGGGCAGTGTAGTGCTCAGAAAATAACCTCACTGGATTTTTTACCAACAGTCTTTATTGTGCACAATATGAAAATCAAACACAATCGATTGGTCCATGTGGGGATGAGCAAATACATGCTAATGCTCTACAGGATTGAGCAGTCCTCGCCGTACGATGTCGTACTGCCATGGCACCATTCCAATGTCAGAAGTGAAAAAGGCGGTGAGATCTGTTCGCACAGCCCTGGCTGCCCGTGTGGACCGTGCACGGGTTAGCTGATGGGGGGCGAGGTTCTCCAGGCCGTTGCTTCCTGCAGTGACTCTTCGCCACTCACCCTCTTGTAGCTGTCCCACTGTGTCCACATCAACAAATGAGGGCGTTATGTAGCGGCAGGGTTCAGTGTTGCCCTCATCAGTGTAGGTGAGGTAGTTGTGTAGCACCACACAGGCCTTCACAATTGTTGTGGCTTTCTCTGGAAGGCATTCGAGGGGCCATCCAAGGATTCGCCATCTCGCCACCATAATCCCAAACGTGTTTTCAATGATCCTCCTGGCTCTGGACAAGCGGTAGTTGAATACCTTCTTCTCCTCAGATAGGGCTGCCCCTACAATTACATAAGACATTTATCAATACATGTAATGGTTATTATTTCCAATACAAACCTCACATTAATTAACTTTAAGCACTACTTAGGCAACATACCATTTAAGAAGCAGAACATACAACACATGCAAATGATAAGAACGTACCAGGGTATGGCCGCATCAGATTGTTGTGGAGAGGGAAGGCAGCATCACCGACGAGGACGTGGGGCAACTGGACTGTTGTCCCAGGAAGAAGAGCTGGCGGGGGGAGGTTGGCCTCGTTGTTCAGCAGCGTGGATCCGAAGACGCTCTCCCTGAATACTCCCCCGTCACTCTCCCGACCATATGCTCCAACATCCCCTGTGGTGAACGTGTACCTCGCGTCGCACGTGGCCATCAGGACAATGGAATGGCTTCCCTTGTAATTGAAGTAGTTGCTTCCAGCACGCGCGGGGGGGCACGAATGTTCACATGTTTGCCATCCAAACTACCGAAACAATTAGGGAAGTTCCAAAGCCTCCAGAAATTGGCAGCGACAGTCTGCCACTGGGCTACAGTCGGAGATGGCAGAAAATGTTCCTGTAGTGCCTTCCACAACGCCTCGCATGTCTCCGTCACAATCCTGGAGGCTGTGGAGCTAGCCATCCTGTAACTAGCAGACAATGCCTGCTGGCTACTTCCACTAGCCAAGAACCTCAGAGTCACAGCCAATCGTTCGTGCAAGGTAATCGGATACTTGCGAGTGTTCTGGTGGTGAATATGGGGTCTCAGTCTATGTGCCAAATCATCGAACTTGCTTGCAGACATCCTGAAGTAGGTAAAATGCATCTGTTCGTCCATGTCTCGAAGCGGCTGAATCAGACTGGTGTACTCCCCACTGATTGGCCGGGGCACATTCAGCGGTCGCACATACCATCTACGTCTGCGGCGCGTACGCCTGAAATACATATTGTAGGCGATTCAAAGCATTTCTTCATCGATCTCCAACAGCTCTCGCAGTAGCACAACTTGTCTGGTCGCCATAGTTGTTTTGAAGAGGAGGAAGTAGCTAGTGGAACTTTATAGTGGGACCCAGGCAAATCTTGTGAGATGGCCACCGTGTGGATAGGGGGTGGGATTACAACATATTTTCGGAATTCAGCAAGTTCAGGTTGGGGTCCCGCAGCCGCCCAAAACACATTGATAATGCTCGGCAGTCGGCCAGCCACTTTAACAAAATTCGGAGCAGCGTGGCCACACAGGTAACATCTCGATTCATGCGGGAATTTGACTGCAGAGTTGATTTGTGTTTTTTGATGTTTATTCATGTGTTCTGTTTGTAAGGCCAACAAGGCTCTCCGAAAAGGAGCGGCGGCGGGTGGCCAGGGCCATGTGCTATGACCCGGCCACAGCCGCCAAGTTTTATGTGGCCCTGCCAAGCCGGGAGGGCAATATGGGGACAGGGTCCTTCGGCTGAAGGCCCTCAGTCTGGCCTCGGACAGCAAGCCAGAGCGCCTCACAAGGCCCGCGGTGTCGTCGAGCTCTGAGTGGGAGGGACCAGAGCCCGTGTATGACGACGAGTCGTCGGACCCCGAGTCTCTGAGCCCCAGATTCAGCCCCGAGCCCTTGAGCCCTGCCTCTAGCCCCGAGCCCTGCCTCTAGCCCCGAGCCCTTGAGCCCTGCCTCTAGCCCCGAGCCCTTGAGCCCTGCCTCTAGCCCCAAGCCCTCGAGGCCGTGCTTCAGGCCTGAGACCGAGAACTTGCAGTTTGCAAGTTCCGTAGGCTCCCCCCAGGGCTGTTTTCGCGTGATCTGACCGAACAGGAGCCTCGATGCGTGTCGCCAGACCGGGAGGAGGTCCACATTAAGCCCTGCTACGTGCTGGCTGTTAGGCTGTCGGCAAACCTATTTAATTACTATGCCTCAATAAAAAGGGACATTGAGTGTGAGCTTGACTCCACCGACTAGACTGTTTGAGGACCGACCAGTGTGTGAGGACCTGTTTGTGTGTGGAACTTTTTGTTTTAAGGACTGTGTGTGTGGACCTGTGTGTATGAAGACTTAACGTTTAGGGACTTTGTTTTGTCTATTTTGTTTTGTGTCCATCGTTGTTGATTTTATTTTTTATTTTTTTTTACAAAATCACATAACTTAGGGTTAGGGTTATATACAAAGTGACTGTCCCCTTTGGGGGACAGCAAATGCACGGACCCTCTCCCTGACTCTGGACCCAGCGGAGGTTCCAGGGCACTAGCAACCACCATAGTGGCCGCCATCTTGTGTCCTGGGGGTTCAAAAAATTGCTCTTATACTAGAGTTTGTGTAGAAAAAAGTAGGCGCTACCTTTCGACAGCTTCTTGTGTCTTCATCAGGCGAGTTCTACACTCTTGTTGAGTATAAAAAATTGAATTAAATGAACTGATTTAGTTTCAAAATTTAACATTTCCAGTGACTAATTAGGTTTAGGGCTGTTCACCACTATGGTCAAGGTTAGGGCTAGGAGCTTTAGCTCTGTGCTCAACTCTGGCCGCAATCTTGACAGTAGTCCAAGCGCACATTTTGGCTGGTTGTTTCCTGCACAACAAGGAAAGCAATTGCGATTTGCATATTGTTTGCCGCGTTTACAAGATTGTTAACTAGATAATGAACAAATTTAGTTTCAAATGGGTTCTTCCCTGTTGCTATGACTAGTGCCTTAATTTAAGATCATGGAGGTCCAGAGACTGGGCGAGGCACTGGCTAGTAAGGTGTATACAAAGTGACTGCCCCCTGAAGGGGACAGCAAATGCACGGGCCCTCTCCCTGACTCTGGACCCAGCGGAGGTTCCAGGGCACTAGGGTTACGGGGCTTTCACACCGCCAACGCTGAAACGCTGAAGCCCCGCTCACCAGACACACATTCTCTAGTTTTCAGATGCAGAGGACTTCACACCACAACGTCCTGACGCAAGCCGGAAGTACCGGAAGTAGCCGGCTGGCTCTGATGCTAACAGAGCTATGCTAGCGGTTTCTTGTGTACAGATCTTCTCCAATATGCAGCTTTGCTCACAGACATTCCACGGGCTTTATATAACAGTAGTATGTGTTCACGGAAGTGCGCCATATGTTTTTTCATATTTCATTTCATTTTTTCATTTCATTTTCAACCCCTTTGTCCATTTCTGGGTCAGGGGGGTGGCAATGGGAGCTCATAGCACCAGTCCCTCTGATCCTCTGCAGGGGGTGAGTCCACAGGAAGATGGCTGCTCCGTCAGTTGTGAAACAGCCTTGATCTTTCAGTGAGGGGCTTCAGGCAACGTGGGGTTAAGTGTCTTGCCCATGGACACAATGATAGCAGTCATCAGTTGGAGCATCGAACATGGTGGGAATCGAACTCACAACCTCCAGGCCCAAAGGCCAATGCTCTACCAACTGAGCTACTGTCGTATTTTCATATTATTAAACGGTATTTCCGCATCGGCGAACACACTCGAAGCAGTTTCATAAGGTCACAGGAGCATGACAATGCATATTTTCACAAGCACAGAGTCCTCCATTGTCAACCCTGGTTTGAGTTCTGGTGAAGTCTGGTGTGGGTCCTGTTTTGGCTGTTTACAGTATGTTCAGTCTGCTCGCTCAGTCCGCTAATGTCCCCGTGACCACTTTGCTGCTCTCTGATTGGTTGTCGCACGAACGTCCCAAGGAAAGGATGAGCAGAATCCATCGCGAACTGAGCGGTCTGTGCGTTGCGACGGCCGGACGCGCGTCACCTTAGACTTTGCATTGAAACCCGACGCAGCATGATCCGGTCTGAAAGCCCTAACCCTCTTCACATGTCATTATTCATTACTAAAATTAGATTGGTACTTTACAGCCGGATACTTAGTAGATTCTTACTGTATATACACATTATGTTTTGCAGATGTACAAATACAAGTATATATTCTCACACTAGAGTCTACGGTATATTTTCCTTTGCTTTTATAGTAAAGGTATATTGGAGGATCTTCCAACATTTTAGGAAAGAACCACATGTTAATCAAACCTCTCTGGTCTTATTTGACAACCACCGATCACCAGAATGATTGACAATTGGGAGGACCAGTAGTCTTGATGATCCACCCGGAGGTCCTCCTGTATACCTATTAAGATCTGTTGACATTAAGCTAGTGATGTTTCCCCACAGTGGGACCAATAAATATTAAAATAGATGTTTTGTTTCATGCCATTACATATTGGGATATATTCTAACATTGCTTGTTTTAGACCGTTGAGGTGAGGTTTTGCTAAATGTGGTTTTTCAGAGGCCTTCAGCACAGGACTAATTCTGTCATTACGACAACAGAAAAAGTGCCATCCATTTCTCCTCAATGTGCCAGTTCTGCGTGTGGTCCCGGCGGCCTGAGTTATTATTGTATGTTAAAATGGGACAAAACCCAAAATGTGCCGTGAATTATGTCCTACATGGAAATAGTGTGGCATATATTCCAGAGTGTCGTATGGAAAAAGAATATGATGTGGGTATTTTCAAAGTGGAGATAACAGCACAGTCAATTCACAAGCGACATTCAAAGCTATATGTATTTATACTTTTGTTTCCGGCTCCGTCTGTTGCCTCTAGATCAATGCCCTCGACACTAAACTCTGCGGTGTCTCGAGTTTAAGTCGTTCTGAATGATTTTGCAAACTTATTTTAAAAAGTACAATGGAACTTTTGGTTTCCCTGTTGATAAAACATGATAAACACCTTAAAGTTTTCTGCGATTCACATATTTCAAAGACGATTTTGTGAGAATTTGGCTGTTTTTAAAGGGAGTTTTGATCATATAATTATTTTCACTTTGCGTTCACCGACTTATAACTTATATTTAGAGTCACGCTGTAACTTTTGCTATGTGTTTTTTATCACTAATGTCAGTATTTGAACACAAATTATAGGAGTTTTCCGTTCCTTGTCGATGACCCGGAAGCTGGTGGCTTTCCGTTGCCATGACAAAGAGCATCCTACTTGGGCTTAATTGTCAAGGAGCAGTACGGAAAGCAACGTCCAGGCTTCCTTTTTGTCGTCCTTTTTACATATGGGACATTCTTTGAAGCAGTAAGGAGATTTGACTCTACCCACAATGCATGCTGTCGCTCACATCGCTCTCCAAAAGAACGCCGACTGAATCTCTGTAGATCAATGAAGATAAGCTTTGTAGTGTTTTGTGACGTGTAGTTCTTCCAGCTGCAACAGTGACGTATGAACTAGAACTAGCTACACTTCTGGACCTTCTTTCCTCACTGTTTACCCATGGTTTCTATCTCCACCAGCTCCTTTAAGTTTGACCTCAACAGAAACTCAAGCATTAGAAGCAATAAGGACTCGGTGGAACAATTCATCTCGGTCCAATGTCTTTCGCCTGCTTTCAGTTGCTTCGTTTTTGGATCTTTTTTAACCTCTGTGACCGCCATTAAATGACTTATTATGCAGCTCTGCTTTTGAGTCCTTCCTTGATCAAATTTTATGACAACTTGATTATTGGGAGTATTCAAAAACATGTATTTAAGATAAGATAAGATAAGCTTTATTTATCTCACAGAGGAGAAATGTACATGTCACATTTGGCATGGATAGAGACACTCAGATTGTGCAAAAGGAGGAAATGTGCAAACATGTTACATGCAGGATATACAGTATATGTACAATAAAAGTGACAATAATTATGTACAACAAAAGTGACAAGTGTCAATTGGAAACAGTGTCAATAGTAGTGCAGGTTTTCACACAGTGATCATTTAAAGTGACTTATTGTACAGTCTGACAGCGGTGGGGATAAAGGCCCTGTGGTAGCGCTCCTTCCTACACTGAGGGTGTCTCAGTCTTCCACTGAAGGAGCTCCTCAGCTCCTCTACAGTCCTGTGCAGTGGGAGGTGTTGTTCATGATGGAGGTGGCTTTGGCTAGCACCTCCTGTCCCTCACCTCCTCCACAGAGTCCAGGGGCCTCCTGTCCCTCACCTCCTCCACAGAGTCCAGGGGCCTCCTGTCCCTCACCTCCTCCACAGAGTCCAGGGGCCTCCTGTCCCTCACCTCCTCCACAGAGTCCAGGGGCCTCCTGTCCCTCACCTCCTCCACAGAGTCCAGGGGCCTCCTGTCCCTCACCTCCTCCACAGAGTCCCGGGGCCTCCTGTCCCTCACCTCCTCCACAGAGTCCAGGGGCCTCCTGTCCCTCACCTCCTCCACAGAGTCCAGGGGCCTCCTGTCCCTCACCTCCTCCACAGAGTCCAGGGGCCTCCTGTCCCTCACCTCCTCCTGACCAGCTTGTTCAGTCTGTTTCTGTCCCGCTCTGTGCTGCCCGGGGCCCAGCACACGGCAGCGTAGTAAATGGCAGAAGCTACCACAGAGTCATAAAAAGTCCTGAGCAGAGGCCTGCTCACTCCGAAGGACCTCAGCCTCCTCAGAAGGACCTCAGCCTCCTCAGAAGGACCTCAGCCTCCTCAGAAGGAAGAGGCGACTTTGGCCCTTCTTGTGCAGGGCGTTTGTATTATGGGACCAGTCCAGTTTATTGTTAAAAACTCATTGTGTCCCATTGACGCATAAATACGTCAAAGCAAATTGTAACGTTGTGTTCCATTGACACATTAATACGTCAAATGCCTTTTTCGCTATTTTCACGTTCCCAGATGTCTATTGTATCTAATATGTA